GCCGGGCTCAAGGGCGCGCGGCCGGGCCCGGCGCACGGCGAGGGGCGCCCGTACGAGTGCCGCACCTGCGGCCGCACCTACAGCCACGGCTCCAGCCTGGTGCGGCACCGGCGCTGCCACCGGCACGGCGCCGACGAGGCGGCGGCGGCCGGCGGGGTCAGCGCGGCGGCCAACGGGGTCAACGTGGCGGCTGTCGACGTCAACGCGGTGGTCAACAGAGTCAGCGCGGCGGCCAACGGGGTCAACGTGGCGGCCAACGTCGATGCGGCGGTCAACAGAGTCAACGTGGCGGCCAACGGGGTCAACGTGGCGGCCAACGTCGACGCGGCGGCCAACAGGGTTGGTGCAGCACCCAATGGGGTCAACGCGATGCTCAACGTCAACACGGCGGCCAACAGAGTCAACGTGGCACCCAACGGGGTCAACGCGGTGGCCAACGTCAACACAGCAGCCAATGGGGTCAACACTGTGGCCAATGGAGTCAGCGTGGTGGCCAGTGGGGTCAACGCCGTGGCCAATGTTAATACGGCGGCCAACGGGGTCAACGTGGTGGCCAACGGGGTCAACGTAGTGGCCAGCGTGGTCAACGCAGCCAATGGGGTCAACGCAGCCAATGGGGTCAACGCGGCGCCCAACGGGGTCAACGCGGCCAACAGGATCAACACTGTGGCCGGCGGGGTCAACGTGGCCAACGGCGTCGACGTGGCGCCCAACGGCGTCAACGTGGCACCCAACGGAGCCAACGTGTTGACCAACCTCACGGCGGCGCCCAACGGGGCCAGCCCGCTGCCCCTGGCGCTCAACGCGGCGCCCGGCGCGGTCGCCGGCGGGGTGGGGCTGGCGGTGCCGGGGGTGGCGGTGGCGGTGCCCGGCGGGGTGATCCCGGTGGCGGGCGGGGTGCTGCTGGCGCCGGCGGGCGCGGCCGAGGGGCCGCTGAGCTGCCCGCTGTGCTGGAAGGCCTTCAAGAAGCCGAGCCACCTGGCGCAGCACCAGATCATCCACACGGGCGAGAAGCCCTTCGCCTGCGCCGCCTGCGGCCGCGCCTTCAACCGGCGCGAGAGCCTGACGCGGCACGTCAAGACGCACGCCGGGCCGCGCCGCGTGCCCTGCCCCGTCTGCGGCAAGGAGTTCCGCGACCCGGCCTACCTGCTGCGGCACCAGGCCAGCCACGGCGCGCCGCGCCCCGCGCACCGCTGCGACGTCTGCGGCAAGGCCTACGCCGCGCCCCAGAGCCTGCTGCGCCACCGCCGCGCCCACGCCGGCGATGGTGACGCCGGGAGCGCCGGGAGCGCCGGGAGGAGCCCCGCGGCGGCGGCGGCGGGCGGCGGGCGCAGCTTCGCGTGCGGCGTGTGCGGGCGCGGCTTCGGGCGGCGCGAGACGCTGCGGCGGCACGAGCGCATCCACACCGGGGAGAAGCCGCACGAGTGCGGAGTGTGCGGCAAGCGCTTCCGCGAGTCCTTCCACCTGCGCAAGCACCGCGTGGTGCACACGCGCGAGCGGCCCTACCGCTGCGAGCTCTGCGGCAAGGCCTACGCCGCGCCCCAGAGCCTGCTGCGCCACCGCCGCGCCCACGCCGGCGCTGGCGACGGTGCCGGGAGCGCCGGGAGCGCCGGGAGGAGCCCCGCGGCGTCGGCGGGCGGCGGGCGCAGCTTCGCGTGCGGCGTGTGCGGGCGCGGCTTCGGGCGGCGCGAGACGCTGCGGCGGCACGAGCGCATCCACACCGGGGAGAAGCCGCACGAGTGCGGAGTGTGCGGCAAGCGCTTCCGCGAGTCCTTCCACCTGCGCAAGCACCGCGTGGTGCACACGCGCGAGCGGCCCTACCGCTGCGAGCTCTGCGGCAAGGCCTTCGGCTACCCGCAGAGCCTGACGCGGCACCGCCGCCTGCACCGCCCGCCGCCCGGCGCCGCCGAGCCCGCGCCGCCGCCCGCGCCGGGCTGCGGCTCCTGCGGCCGCCGCCTGCCCGAGCTGCTGCGCGCCGCCGCGCTCCGCGACGCCGCCGCGCCGCCGGGCTCGCCGCGCGGCTGCGACGCCTGCGGGCGGGTCTTCGGCCTGCTGGAGAACCTGGTGTGGCGCCGCCTGGCGCGCCCGGCCATCGCGCCCGAGCGGGCGTCGCCGGCGGCCGCGGAGGCGCCGGGCCCTGCCGAGGCGCCGCCGGCGGCGCCCAGCGCGTGGCGCTTCGGCTGCGGCACGTGCGGGCAGAGCTTCCGGCGCGTGGCGGCGCTGGTGACGCACAGGTACGTGCACCTGGCGCCGGCGCGCCCGCCCGCCTGCGGCGCCTGCGGCCGGCGCTGCGCGGGCGCCTACGAGCTGCTGCGGCACCGGCGCCGGCACCTGCGGCGGCGCCCGCGCCTCTGCCGCGCCTGCGGCCGGCGCTTCTGGGCGGCCGCGCTGCTGCGGCGGCACCGGCGCTGCTGCCCCGCCCGGCGCCGCCCGTTCCGCTGCCGCACCTGCGGCCGCGCCTTCCCGCGGGCCCGGGCGCTGCGGCGGCACCGCGCCCGCCACGCCGCGCCGCGCTGCCCGCTGTGCGCCAAGCGCTGCGCCCACGCCGCCGGGCTGGCCGAGCACCAGCGGCGGCACGGCCCCGCGCGCCCGCGGCGCTGCCGCACCTGCGGCGCCGCGTTCCGCTTCCGCGGGAACCTGCTGGAACACCGGCGCCGGCACCTGGGCGAGGACGTGTACCGCTGCGAGCGCTGCGGCAAGAGCTTCTTCTACCTGGGCTCCATCGCCCGGCACCTGCGCGCCCACCGGCGCCGCCCGCGCTGCCCCCGCTGCCGCCGCCGCTTCGCCCGCGCCGCGCTGCTGCGCCGCCACCTCGGCCGGCACGGCGCCGCGCCCGCCTGCCCCCGCGCCGAGGGCACGGCCGCGCCCGAGGGGACCGGGCAGCTGGGCTGAGACGGCGCGGGAATGGGCAAAATGGGCAAAATGGGGCAAAAATGGCCGTGAGTGGCTCGTCCTGGGCAAAAGTGGTCCAAATTGGCGTGAAATGGGGCAAAAATGGCCGTGAGTGGCTCGTCCTGGGCAAAAGTGGTCCAGGATGGTCCAAAGTGGTCCAAATTGGCGTGAAATGGTCCAAGTTGGCATGAAATGGTCATAAATGGCTCATCCTGGGCAAAAATGGTCCAAGATGGTCCAAAATGGTCCAAATTGGTGTGAAATGGGGCAAAAATGGCCGTGAGTGGCTCGTCCTGGGCAAAAGTGGTCCAAGTTGGCCCAAAGTGGTCCAAATTGGTGTGAAATGGTCCAAAAATGGCCATAAATGGCTCATCCTGGGCAAAAATGGTCCAAGTTGGCATGAAATGGTCCAAATTGGCATGAAATGGTCCAAAAATGGCCATAAATGGCTCATCCTGGGCAAAAATGGTCCAAGATGGTCCAAAATGGTCCAAATTGGTGTGAAATGGTCCAAAACTGGCCATAAATGGCTCGTCCTGGCCAAAAATGGTCCAAGATGGTCCAAAATGGTCCAAATTGGCATGAAATGGTCCAAAAATGGCCATAAATGGCTCGTCCTGGCCAAAAATGGTCCGAGATGGTCCAAAAAGGCCCATCCTGCCCCGAAATGGTCCAAAATGGCCCATCCTGGCCCGAAATGGCTCCAAATGGTCCAGAACATTTCATCCTGGTCCAAAAAACATCCAAAATGGCCCATCCTGGCCCAAAATGGGTCATCCTGTTCCAAAGTTGCCCAGAATGGCTCGAAATGGTCCAAAATGGCCCCAAATAGCCCAAAATGGTCCAAAATGGCCCCAAATAGCCCAAAATGGTCCAAAATGGCCCCGGTGTGGAGCGGCCGGGCTGATGGACACCTGGACAGATGGACACTCGGACACTCAGACAATGGACAGCTGGAGTGATGGACACTCGGACAAATGGACACTCGGACAAATGGACGCACGGACAAATGGACGCACGGACAAATGGACGCTCGGACAAATGGACGCTCGGACAAATGGACACTCGGACAAATGGACACTCGGACATTTGGACGCTCGGACAAATGGACGCTCGGCCACGGCCGCCCCCCCGGGGCCCCCCGGTGATGCTCGGACCCCTCCCCCACCCCGGGAGGGGGTCCCGGCCGGGGGGGAGGGGCGGGGCGGGGCGGGGGAGGGGCCGCGGCCGCGCTGTACGGACAAAAGCGGAATAAATGCGGAACATGGCGGCGCCCCTGGGCCGGCGCCCGCCAGCCGGAATGAGTACGGAACATGGCGGCGCCCATGGGCCGGAAGCGGCGCGTCACGTGGGCGGGAGGCGGCCAATCAGCCGGAATGAGTACGGAACATGGCGGCGCCAGTGGGCCGGAAGCGGCGCGTCACGTGGGCGGGAGGCGGCCAATCAGCGCGCGGCGTGGGGGCGGGTCCGCCGTTGGCGGGAGATCCTCAGCGCGGTGAGGGCGGCCGGGGGTCCCCGAGGAGGAATTTGGGGAATTTTGGGGCTTTTCGGGGGGTTTCAGGGGGGCTTTGGGAGGTTTGGAGCCATCCCGGGGGTTCCCCGCGCGGTTTTGGGGGGGTTTGAGGGGAAAGGAGGAAGGCGGAGGCGGAGCGGGAGCCGTGAGGGGACGGGGAGCTCTGAGGGGGATTTGGGGGCTGGGAGGGGATTCTGGGGATCCTGAGGGGATTTTGGGGATCCTGAGGGGATTTTGGAGTCCCTGAGGGGATTCTGGGGATCCTTGAGAGGATTTTGGGGTCCCTGAGGGGATTCTGGGGTCCCTGAGGGGATTTTGGGAATCCTGAGGAGATTTTGGGGTCCCTGAGGGGATTTTGGGGATCCTGAGGGGATTCTGGGGTCCATGAGGGGATTTTGGGGTCCATGAGGGGATTTTGGGGCCTTTGAGGAGATTTTGGGGATCCTTGAGAGGATTTTGGAGTCCCTGAGGAGATTTTGGGGCCTTTGAGGGGATTTTGGGGTCCCTGAGGAGATTCTGGAGGTCCCTGATGGGATTTTGGGGATCCTGAGGAGATTTTGGAGTCACTGAGGGGATTTTGGGGTCCCTGAGGGGTTTTTGGAGTCCCTGAGGGGATTTTGGGGATCCTGAGGAGATTTTGGAGTCCCTGAGGGGATTTTGGGGTCCCTGAGGAGATTTTGGGGTCCCTGAGGAGATTTTGGGGCCTTTGAGGGGATTTTGGGGCCTTTGAGGGGATTTTGGGAATCCTGAGGAGATTCTGGAGGTCCCTGAGGGGATTTTGGGGATCCTGAGGATATTTTGGAGTCCCTGAGGGGATTTTGGGGTCCCTGAGGGAATTTGGGGATCCTTGAGAGGATTTTGGAGGTCTCTGAGGGGATTTTTGGAATCCTGAGGAGATTTTGGGGTCCCTGAGGAGATTTTGGGGTCCCTGAGGGGTTTTTGGGGTCCCTGAGGAGATTTTGGGGGGTCTCTGTGTGGCTTTTGGGATTTTGGGAGGGATTTTGGGGGAATTGGGTCATTTTGAGGGGAATTTTGGGGTTTTGAGGGAAATACTGTGATTTTGGTGGCAGTTTGAGGAACAATTGGGGCATCCTGTGGGTTTCCCTTGGGGTTCCCACCGCCGTCCCAAAACGCCCAATTTTCCCCAAATTCCCCCAAATTTCCCTAATTTATTTCCCCAATTTATTTCCTGAATTTTCCCCATTTAATTTCCCCAATTTTCTCCAAACTTCCCCAAATTTTCCCGATTTCCCTGATTTTCCCCAATTTCCCCCAAATTTGGATGGGAATTTGAGGGAAATGATGGGATTTTGAAGAGATCTGGGGGGAAATGATGGGATTTTGGTGGGAAATTGAGGGAAATGTTGGGATTTTGGTGGGAATCTGGGGATTTTGATGGGATTTTGGTGGGAATACTGGGATTTTGATGGGAAATATTGGGATTTTGATGGGAAATGTTGGGATTTTGATGAGATTTTGATGACAAAGCTGTGATTTTGATGGGAATTTGGGGATTTTGATGGGAATTCAGTGGGAATACTGAGATTTTGATGGGAAATGTTGTGATTTTGATGGGAATTTGGGGATTTTTTATGGGATTTTGATGGGAAATGTTGTGATTTTGGTGGGAATACTGAGATTTTGATGGCAAAGCTGTGATTTTGATGGGAATTTGGGGATTTTGATGGGATTTTGATGGCAAAGTTGTGATTTTGATGGGAATTTGGGGATTTTGATGGGAATTCAGTGGGAATACTGAGATTTTGATGGCAAAGCTGTGATTTTGATGGGAATCTGTGGATTTTGATGGGAATTCAGTGGGAATACTGGGATTTTGATGGCAAAGCTGTGATTTTGATGGGAATCTGGGGATTTTGATGGGAATTCAGTGGGAATACTGGGATTTTGATGGGAAATGTTGTGATTTTGGTGGGAATTTGGGGATTTTGATGGGATTTTGATGGCAAAGCTGTGATTTTGATGGGAATCTGGGGGTTTTGATGGGATTTTGATGGGAAATGTTGTGATTTTGGTGGGAATCTGGGGATTTTGATGGGGTTTTGATGGCAGAGCTGTGATTTTGATGGGAATCTGGGGATTTTGATGGGAATTCAGTGGGAATACTGGGATTTTGATGGGAAATGTTGTGGTTTTGGTGGGAATCTGGGGATTTTGATGGGAATTCAGTGGGAATACTGAGGTTTTGGTGTCAAAGCTGTGATTTTGATGGGAATCTGTGGATTTTGATGGGAATTCAGTGGGAATACTGAGATTTTGATGGCAGAGCTGTGATTTTGGGGCAGTCCGAGGAACACCCGGGGCATCCCGTGGCTTCCCCCGGGGTCCCGCCCCCCCCGTGCCTTTTCCCAAACGTCGCTGATTTTGCCCCAAATGCGCCCAGCCCATGGAGGCCGCGGGGGGCGCCGGCCCCGGGGGTCCCGGGCGGTTCCGGGGGGTCCCGCGGGGCCCGTCCCGCTTCGAGGAGGAGCTGGCGCAGCTGCACGACGAGGAGGAGGAGGAGGAGGAGGAGGAGGAAGGGCTGGCCCCCGACCCCCGCTGCCAGCCCCGCGGTGAGGCCTCGGGGGGCTTTTTGGGGCTTTTTGGGGCTTTTTGGGGCTTTTTGGGGCTTTTTGGGGCTTTTTGGGGCTTTTTGGGGCATTGTAGAGGTTGGGGGGGTTTGTGGGGCGTTTTATTTCAAGGGAAATTTTTGGGGGGGATTTTTAAAATTTTATTGGGAATATTAGGGGATTTTTAAATCTGATTTTTCTGTTTTTTTTCTCTGTTTTTCTCTGATTTTTCTCTGTTTTTCTCTGATTTTTCTCTGTTTTT